GACACGGGACTTCCAGAAGCCTTTCCTTAACACATGGTGGACTCTCACCCCATGGACAGGCCAGTGTCATCCCGGGGACACAAACTGACACAGACACTGCAATGAGAAATTTACTAATACCTATTAAATTTGCTGCTGCCTGTGGTCCAAACCCCAGTGATTCCACACATGAGAACTGAAGAGACAAAATCCTTACATGTGTGCATGAGACACATGCCAAAGAATGTGCACTGTGATGCTGTTTGTACTGGCAAAAAATTGGAACCAACCTAGATACCTGCTCAGAAGAGAAATAATAATAAATTATGGCATTTTCATTAAACAGAATTCTATACCACTAAAAATAGAAGATCATAATGAATAATATATAATACTGGTATAAGAGAAAATTGTATAGTTAAGTAAAGTACTCGGTTTATGTAAAATTTTGAAACCCCAGAAGAATCCTGGACCTGTTTATCAAAGCACAAAATCATGGGCTAGAGATTCTTCCCCAACAGGAGCAGAATGTCACCTTTCGGGAAGCAGGAAGGGGATGGGGACTAGAGAGATTCACAGAGGATCTCTTATTTGTGTGGAAAAGAAAAACTAAGGGGGCTGGGGAGTTAGCTCAGCAGCACCATGCCAGCCTCACAAGCACAAGGTCCTGAGTTCAATCCCCGGTACCGGAAAAAAACCAAGAAAGAACCAAGGGAGATGAGCTACAATGCCAACTTTCATTAAACTGGGTGGTTGATACTTTTATTCTTGACACTTGACACTCATCTATCCATCCATCCATTTATCCATTCATCCATCCACTTATCCATCCATGCAGCTATTCATCCATTCATTCATCCATCCATTCATCTATCCGTGCATCTAGTCACCATTCATCCATTCATGCATTCATTCATCCATCCATTCATCCATCCTTCAATCCACTCATCTGCTCATCCATCCATCTATCCATTCATCATCCATCTATTCACTCATTTATCCATTCGTTCATTCATACATACATCCATTCATTTATTCATCAATTCATCCATCCATTCCACAAATATTTGTGGAGCAGATGGTCTGTACCAGGATCCATTCTAGGTATAGAGGACACAGCTCTGAACAAGACAAAACCCTGACCTGTAGAGCTGTCAACAGAGACAAATAGATAATAAATAAATAAATAAAATCTCTTGCACTGTTAGGTGATGATAGGATCTATGGAGAAAAAATAAAACAAGGAAGGTCAGTATGCACTAAAAGTGTCAAGGAAAGAAGGCAGGGGGCCTCACCTGGAAACCAGGATAGATTTCACAGAGAAGGAGGCAGAGGGGCAAAGAGAAGGAGCTGTGGGATGGCCAGCAAGCAGCCAGGAGCCAAAGCTAGGTGGGGGCAGAGGCAGACAGGTTCATAGGCCATGCTGACAGGAGGGAGGTGGCAGCACAGGCGTTGAACAGCTTCACAGCTTCCAGCAGAAACGGGGGTAAGGATGGAAAGAGAGCAGGATTTCTAGAGACGGTTCAGTTGAATTCAAACTAAAATATGGTTGGAGATGCAAATTTAAAACCTAGATGAAGCTCTAAGGTTTGGAGTGGGCTGGACAGGGGCTTCCGACAGTACCAGTAGCATTTACTCCTACAGAAATGAATCAGTGCTGCTGAGTGGAGAGAGGGCTAGAGAGAGCACTGAGACGCCACCGTGCTGCACACCTGGGAGCCCAGGCAGGCAGGTGCCGGAGCCCAGCCCACCCTCGGAACCCACGGGGCTGGAGCGGGTAAGGCCGCAGCCCCTCTCCCTGGGGACCCTGAAGGCCCCAAGGAGGGACTTGCCTGACTGGGAGACATCTCGCTTCCATGTGATTTCCCACAGACCAATCACAGGGAGCGATTTCCCAAAAGAGCATTACCTGTGGAAAGGGACGCCATCCCTTGGGCTTTTTTGTTCTAAATGTTTTTTTAAAAAAACAGGTCAGGATTTTCCCAGGCATTAATTAAGAGGCAGCTGTTGGGCACTTGTAACAGTGTCTGGCACCTGACAGGAGCTCAATAAGTAAGTGTTTCCATGACCGCTGTTATTTCTACCTGAGCATGAAGAAGCCAGTCTATCCGCCCTCTTCCTGGGAAGAGCTCCTGGCTGGGACAGCAAAACATTAGGGTTCTATTCTCGGGTAAAGGCACAGAATTGAGAGAACCAAGTGTTTCCCGGGCCCGTGGCAAAACCCATCTCCAGCCCGTGGGTTTCCACTGTGCACTGAACACTGCTTACCCCGATAGGCCAGAGGCGCTGAGGGAGGCAGTGAAAGTCCCACGCCCTTGCAGGGCTGAGACGCTGCCACAGTGACAGTGACATCCAGGCCGAGACGGAGCAGAGTCAGAGCGCCAGCTCCCACCCAGCGCCCGGGGCCGGCAGCGGTGAGAGCCTGGATGACTCCCTGGGCCTCTCTGGGCTGCGGCATCTTCCTCTAACACAGCGGTCACAACAGCAACCTCTCCCGATGCAGAGGACGGGGTGACCTAACACGCAGCCAGCGCCCAGCGCTGCCTGGCACATGAGAAGCCCTTGACAGACGTCAGCTGCTATGGTCACAAACCAGCCAGTCTACACCACGGGCAGGACAGACAGGTCACTGCCAGGGCCTGGGGTGGACAGCAGCCTGGGGGTCATGGTTCCCTGTGGAGAATGAAGAGGTTTGGGAGCCGGTGCCTGCACGCGGTTGTGAATCCATCGAGGTCACTGCTTGTTCAGTTTAAAATGACTCATTTCATGTGAATTTCAACTCAATGCAAACATGTTGATAAAAACCCATCGGCCTGTACGTAATCCCTCCCCGATTCACCATGTCTTGGCCAAATCTCCATTTCCTCGTCTATCAGAAGGCAGAGATGGGAATGTCCCAACCACAGGCCATATGTGGGAGTTTCACTAGGGAACGGTGTGAGTTGGATCGTGCGTGGGAAACACTGGGACCTGACAAATGCTTAGTAGGCTGAGTGTGAGGCTAAAGTAGAGCCACTTGGGAAGGGATGGCCCCGCCTTTCCATGGCACAGATGGCCTTGGCCACCTGCAGTAGTAGCATGGGACCCAGGTTGGTTCAGAATGGTACCTTCCCCACGGCTCACCTGGGAATGCACTCCACATGCCAAACCACCCCACCCTTAGCTCTTCTAAAGTGGACAGGAAGTTATTTAGCAAACATCCAAAATAAACCCACTCCTTCCCATAAAAGTTTCTCAAACTTAAGAGATTTCTGTCTCCTTTCCTTAGATCCCAGAACACGGCCCCTGCACCCACATGAGCTGTCCTCGCTGCGATGACACCTTTGACAGGGAAGGTGACAGGGAGGAGTTTCCCTCACCCCGACTGTGAGCAGCAACATTTGGGTTTGTTTGGAAAAGCATCACCCAGGAATTTCTACAACACCTGTCTGCCTGGGGAAGGGATAACATTAATTAAAGGGACACACTGCCCCTCCAGAATCCCAGCAAATTGCAGACAAAAGAGAAGGCAAAGCACACAGGGAGATCGGTAAGATCTAAATCACAAAACCAACGAAAAAGGACAGAAATGTTATGCATGGAAGGTCAGGTGAGCTATTTTCAAACAGTGCTGATTGAGCCCAAATCCCTAGTGACTCACTTTGTGCGGGCTTTCCAAACAGATGTCTTAGCCTTCAGAAACATCGCTAAGATCGGAAGTGTAAATTCTCCTTGGGCATTTGCTTTGCCCAAACCTCCTGCTGCATGTTGATGCCAATGACACAAAAACCAGCAGCAGAGACAAAGCACAGTGCCAGATGTGTCACAAAACATTTCTTGTTCGCCTACTACAAGTCAGGAAACGTGTTAGAAAAGTCATCCTTGTTAACTCATGGAATCTTCAGATCACTCAAAGGCAGACATTATTTGCCAGGGTTTTTAACATACAAGTGTTTCGACTTTCTTTTACTGTATCAAATACCCAAGGCAGAACTTGATTTTGGCTCACAATTTCGGGGGCCTCAGACCACAGTCAGCTGGCTCCACTGCTATGGGACTGCGGTGCAGCAGAAACATCATGGTAGAAGTGCGAGGTGGAGAAAACTGCTCAGAGAAAAAGCACCTCTGCCAGAACAGGCCACAGACCCAGAACCTGAGCCACTCCCTTTGTTGGAAAAATGACAAGAAACCTCCAGGGGACTCCCAGAGGGGGGCAGCACACAGCTGGCCTGGCTCCTGCAGCCACTTGGCTGCCAGGCTTTGAACAAATTACCTAACATTCCCACGCCTTGATCTCCTCATATGGAAAATGGGGAAATAAATACACTCCCTTTGTAGGGTTGCTGTGCCCATCAAGTGGATTGAGTTCCCTGAAATGCCCAGGAGGGTCTACACATAGTAGGTACTCAACAAAATTGCACCCCAAGAACTATCACTGCTTATCATTGACCTTCAGCCTCACCACTCAGGTGAGCAGGTCCCCTTTTCAGGATGAACAAACCACTTTAGAAAACGTCCGCAGTTTGCCCAGATTGTACAAAAGGCCAAGGAGAGCGAGGATCCGTGAGATCCCAGCCCGCACTGTCCCCCCTTGCCCTGATCCCTGGCCCCCACGATCCCCTGAGGCTGCTCTTTCTGCTCCTCAACCTCAGGCCCGCCTCTGTTTCCACGCGGGGATGGGGCAGCAGGAAGATAAGGGCAGGCATTTCAGCGCTGTTTCACTTTTTCAAAGCTGTATTGTAGGTCAACATTGTGTACATTCACGGGGTCAGTGTGATATTTCAGCCCCTGCACACAGTGTGTGCTGGTCATTTAGGCTGTGCAGCAGTCGCTTTTGATGTGACCCCTCCCTTCTCTAAGAGAACAGAGAGGAAGCCAAGGACGGAGCCCAGAGGAGGAGAAGCCAGGTGGAACACGCAGCGTGAGGCCTTCCCCAAGGCCGCTCAGCCTGCAGAGCTCAGCCCCCGCTCCTCCTAGAGGACTTATTAGTCGCAGGATGGAATGGGACCACAATCACGAGTCTTTAATTACAGGACTCTTACCTTTTGCTTCTGTGTGGCCCGATGAAAATGAGCAGTGGCAGTTTCTTTAGAGAAGTTAATTACTCTCCCGGATAATTATGCTCACCGGATGGCGCACCTGGCCTCCCTGCGGAACAGCAGAGTGGGGAAGAAGGGAAAGAGGGGGGCGGGGGGTTATAAGTGCCAAGGGGAGCAGCATCAAGGCCTGCCCGAGGCAAGCCGGAGAAGAGGAGGCCACTGGGGGCGCTGGGGTGACAGTGGAGGCGGTGACGATCCCCCGGGAACAGTGCCCCCAGAGAGCCCCCGGGCCTGCTCTCAGGAGCGGGCTCCGGCGTGGCCGAGCTGCCCAGCCCCCCACATGACGTGGCCGGGGTGGGGCAGGACTGGGACTGGCCCTCCCTCCTGGTTCTGGCTCCCTGCTTCCCCTTGTCGAGTGCTGAAGGAGCCCTGCCCCCCGATCCCACCCAGGAGCATCGGAGGACCCTGTGCTGCGCCCTGCCTGGAAGAGCAGAACTGGCTGGGTCCCACCCTCAGGGACAGGGCCTGGGGCGTAGAGGGGTGCTGGCCATAGCACCCACAGGGCGGTGCCGGGGCTGTGGCAGGAACACAGGTGAAGCCCTGAGGGAGGAAGAGCCCTCCACCGAGAGCTGGAGGAGAAAGAGGCGTCAGCTGGCGCTGGGGGCTGAACAGCGTCCGCCCAGCAGGGGCCCACCCGGACCTCAGAGTCTCTGCCCCGGGACCACAGACGCCCTCTGACTGACAGCGAAGGTTTGGCTGAGGAGCCTTGGCTTTATGAGCTGTGAAGGTGGGGCACAGTGAGCAGAGCCCTCTCTGTGCTGTCCCCGTGGCCCTGCTCCTGGCTAGCAGGCTCCAGCAAGGTCCTCTCCTGTGCCACTGGGCAGCAGCAGCCCGGGACACGAGGGTGACGCTGGTGCTCTCCATGTGCTTGCTGCTCAGCCGAGAGGGTCAGTGGGTGGGGCACATCATGTGCTTTCCACTTTGCTGCAGAGTTCTTGGGGTGTCATCCCCCCTGTGTCTAGAGCACCCACCGCTACAGCGAGGCCGAGGGACTGGGCTGGAAAGGTGGTTTCAGGTGGAGGCAGAGACACCGATGCCAGGGAAGAGGCCGTGCTTGTCGTAGGAGACCTCAGAGTGTCACTGCTGCCAGCCCAGAACACTAAGGACCACCGGAAGAGGCCAGGAGGGAGCCCCAGAGCCTGCAGCAAGGGCGCCCGGCCCCCAGAGCTGCAAAAGAATAAAGCTGTTCTTTCAAATCACCCTGTGTGCTGTGCTTTGTCACCATACTCAGGGAAGCCACTCATCCACACCTCCAGCACCACAGGAAGAATCCCCAAGAGGGGGCTGTGCAGAGCGCTCCTGCTGACCTGCTCCAGGCCCCTCCCCACCGCGGCAGGGTCTCCAGGAAGGACCGGGGCTCCTGAACTGGGGAGGGGACAGGCCAGGCCCACCACTGGAGCCTTGGGGACGTTCTGTTCCCCAGGAGCAGCTTAGAGAACCAGCTTCCCTGAGCCCGTGTCAGAACCAGCTCCCAGGGGAGGGATTTCGGGGGGCTGTGGTGCTCTCTTCATGACGTGTGGGACCCAGGGACTATCCCCGGCTGCGTGTGCACACACACACACACACACACACACGCTGGCCCACTGCTAACACCCGCAGGAAACCCAGGCGTCAGGTGCCAGTACACACATGGCAGGAGAGGGCAGCCTGGTGCTCAGAGTCCCCCGGGAGCTGTTCAAAGAGCAGGCTCTCTGGTCTGCTTGTCCTTCCAGTTGTGTGGGCTCAGCGGGGCCTTGCAGGGAAGGCAGAGACCTGTGGCAACCAGGACAGGTATTTGCAGGAGAGAGACCCCAGGTGGTCCCTCCCGGACCTCTCTGGAGGATCCAAGGTTTGAATCCTGCAGGGGCAACTCAAGGAGACCCTGCCTCCGAATTTTAAAAAGCAGTGCTGGGGTGCGGCTCAGGGGTAGATCACCCTTGGTTCACCCCCAGTACCAAAACCCTGCATCGGCACAGAGCTACCACAGGGAAGGCCTTCCAGACCAAACGAGGTGATCTTGTCCCGCAGCACTGTGCCAGGGCCTGCGTCCAGGGAGTCATCACCAAGGTCACCCTCGTTGTTGCTGGGGAGCCTCGCAGCCATCCTAACTCTCAGAGAAGGAATGGAGACTGCTAATGTCTGTCTTCTCACTCACATTCCGACGCCAGCAGCTTCCCGCCGTGAGAAGCACTTTCCTCTGCATTTCCACCTCCATTCCCAGTGCCAGCTTGGCTCGTAGAACAGCTCTGACTCTGTCCTGCCATTCTGTGGCTGACCTAGTTCAGCCAGGCTGTTCTTCTGCCCCAGGGTCCCTGAGTCCTTTGAGCCTGGGCACCCAGCCAAGTGCCAGGTAGAGGTGAAGGGCCCTGGGGACTCTCTCCTGTGGCCTCTCCCTGGGCGCTGGCATCGCAGGACACTGGCTTCCCTGCAAGCAGAGCAAGAGAAGCAGCCTTGGGCCAGGGATTTAGCTCAGTGGTTCCACCGCCTGCTTCGCAGCGCAAGGACCGGAGTTCGATCCCCTGTACCAAAAAAAAAAAAAAAAGAAGAAGAAGAGGAGCAGCCTCCTTGAGCATGCAGCTGTCCTTTGCTTACTTCATGCTTGCCAAGGCCCCAGTGTCCCCCAAGTCACCTGCAGGCCAAGGCATGAGTGGGCAGGAGCACACAGGTGTGAGTGCCAGGAAGCAAGGTTCTGGAGGCCAGTGCCACCCACACCATGGACCTGTCCGACTACAAGCTGTGGCCGGCAGGCAGGAGCTCAGGCCACATCCCCCTCCCTGGGAGAGCATCCAACGGGTCTGATCCTCGCCCCCACCCAGAGAAGCAGGGAAGGGAGATGTGGTCTGGTTTGTAGGCCCTGCAGGAGCTGACCCTGCTGCTGCCTAGGCCTGGTGCCCAGGATGCTGCCCACACCCTCCTCCCTCCACTCCTCTGGCCTGCCATGTCTCCATGCCACCCACAGTGCCCACCAGCCCTTCCTCTCCAGTTGTCTTCCTTCTCCAAGCCTCCTGGTGACACAGTTAATTATTTATAAATGAGCATAAATGCACCAGAATAAGGGCTATTTAAAGGAGCCCTGTGGTGACGCATTGAGTAATTAAAATAATCATTTATTCCATAAGCATTTATCAGGCACTTGGGCTGTGGCCGGTGCTGCAAGGTGGAGCAGGATGTGGGGGAAGCTGGAGGCAGCCCTGCCCTCAGGGAGCCAAGTCCTCACTCTTCATGTGCACCTTCTCCCCTGGTCCAGCTCAGTGCTGGGTGACGAGGTGAGCCCAGCGCCATTCTGCCCTCGAGTTGTCGAGACTGGCAGGTGACATATTGCCAGCGAGCCCTGCTACTGGCCAGCAGGTGACAGCTGTGCTGGAGACAGGTCCTGCACAGGCACATGAGAGCCTCATGCCACACCTAGATGCCTGGCCCGGAAGTGGCCCCTGGGACAGACAACGAGGAGGAAGCGTGGAGTCTCAGGCTCAGGGATGGGAGTCTGACCCCGTCAGAACAGAAGGCACCGGGCCTGGGAGACTGCTCTGCCTGGCCATCGCAGGATCCCCAGCCCAGGGTGCACAGCGGCATTGCAGGATGAGGGGAAGGGTCCCGCAGCAGGAGGGAGCCGGGTGGTCACGCAACCCAGAGCCGAAGCCCAGCAGGAGGGGCCACAGCAGTGCAACAGCCCCATCAGACCCGCAGACCCACAGCCAGGGCCAAGTCCCCCCCACCCCATGTCATGCTCAAGAGGGACAGCAGGGCCGGTTCTGGTGGTCTGCAGGGGAGGGCCCCCCGGCCCAGGGCCCAGCCAAGAGCCCAGCTTCAAAGGTTACGCCAGCCAGCTGAGCTATGCATGTGCTGACAGAGCACTGAGCCCTAGCACTTGCCCACATAGGGGGCTTTCAGCGGGGCGCCTGGGGCCTCGGACTAAGAGAGATGAGCAGGCTAGACTTCACTGAGGTCTGTGTTTTACATTGGGTGTTCCCTCCTCAGAAAAGGACTTCCCTGTCTTTCAACTCTTATCCACTCTTCAGAACCCCATTCAATGCCCCTCTACTCTGAATGCAACTCTGCCTCTCCTGTACAGTTATGTGCTCCTACTTTGTACTCCAACTGTAGCTAGAACACACCGCAGCCAACGAGTTCATCATCTCCCTTAGGCTTTGTCCTCGCCCCAGCAGAACTGATCTTCTCTCTCAGCACCTTCTTCACCTGCTCCTAATGGTTCTACCTTGAGCAGGGCCCGAGCTCCTGCTGCGGGCTCGGTGCTAAAGCTTCGCACACACTGCTTGACTGATCCTCACTCTGCACAGTGAGCCTGGGCCTCACAGGTCCCTGTTTCACAGCCAAGAGAGCTGAAACGAGCAGACTTGAGCCATGCCGAGGAACGAGCATCCCACAAACACTCAAATGACAGCGTGGCAGAGAGAAACGATGAAGGAGTTGCTTGTCACCCGCCTCTGCCTCCACAGAGCCGAGGGGCATCCTGGTAGCTGAACAGCTCCACACCTGCGTCCTCCGATGCCCTGTGGCCACCGAGGGGGAGCTGGGTGGGTACGGGCTGAGGTCCTGGTCACCAGGCGAGAGGACCGTCCTGAGGGGTGCTGCGAGGCGCGTCTCAGGCGACAGTGCCAGAGATGAGGTCTGTGTCCTGCGTGAGGAGGACAGGGACTCCGCATGGCCTGAGCCCCCCGGCCCTCCCCTACCCAGGCGGAATCAGCCTCTCCGTCCCCATCTGCACCTGCTCTGCTGCTAAGGACCCAGGAGGCAGAAACCCCTGCGCAGGGCAGCTGCGCTCCCGGGGACCTGAGTTCCTTCCTGGGTGACACCGGGAGTCGGCAGCACAGGCGCAGAACTCAGCCTGGCAGGTCTTGGACAGCAGGGTCCCTCGTGGAAATGCCTGTGACAGGGAGTCATCCTGTACCTGTGCTGTCCCATGTGGAGCCATCGCAGGTGGGGCCAGAGCCACCTGGTCCCGTGGGACCGGGACCCTGAATTGTAATTTAAATGGACACTCGTGGCTGGTGGGCCGCCCCGCTGGGCTCCGCAGTTCCCAGGCCCATCTGCAGATGGCCCCGGTCTCCTCAAACTCCAACTGCATTGTAGGCATCGAGGTGATCCACAGGGCACCAGGAAGTGGCCTGAGGGCCAACTCGCCCACACCACCACTGGCCACCCAGCAACAACACCAAAAGAAAAACTGAATTTTCTTTTTCAAAACTGCTCCCACAAGCCTCCGAATGCTTTGCCTTCAGCCCACCTCCCCACCCTGTGTCCCCAGCTTCCCACACAGACAGGCACCATGCTGCCCCCACAGCTGCCCCAACTGGTGCAATGCTGGAAGTTTTTCATCGCGTGATGTCTGTTACCACTTTGATCCTCACGCAGCTCTCTGAAGCCTGCACCACAGCTTCCATTCCATAAAGAAACTGCTCAGATTAAAATGTTTCTTCTGAACCAAAGAAAAGTTCCGCTCCATGCACAGGCCCAAGGCGATGATGCCCTCTGCCCACATCCAGACAGGGTGGAGAGCCAAATCCACACCAAGGGCCATAGGGCCACCAGGGAGAGCTCATGGGGTCTCCCGGAAAACTCCCGCCCTTCACATCTGATCCGCACTGCCACCCACCACCCTCCAGCCCTGACCCAGCACTACCTAGACCACACAAAGCAGGCTGCCTGAAGCAGGAGGCAGAGAGGGGAGAGGCACAGGTTACCACATCAGGTCCGCAGGCTGAGCTTCCCAGGTTCGGCCCAGACAGCCGGGAAGTTGCTCCCCGAAGCTCCACCCACGACCTTACCCTCCCACCTGGGGAAGAGCAGCGCCCTCTGCCCCGAGGAGAGACCTGGTCCCCTTCCTGCCCACCAGCACCCGCCGAGTCTGATCACACTGTCTGCTCTCAGACCCACAGGAGAGCAGTGACAGAGTCACCAAAGACACGAGCGTCAGAGGCTCCACGACATGCCAGCCCCCAGGCCGGGGCTCCAGGAGCCTGGGAGTGAACCCCAGGGACCTGTGCAGGGGACCTTGAGATGAGCCCAGGACAGAAGCTGCTTTTCTGTGTGGAACCAGGGATCGAATTCAGGACCTTGCCCTCGCAAGGCAGGCTCCGGGCCACTGAGCTACATCCCCGGCCCAGGAGCTGCTCTTTTGGAATGAAGTGAACTTTGTTCCAAAACAGGATCGAAGCCAGGCTGGGTTGGGAAATCTTATCTCCGAGTTGTGGCTGCCTGA